TTCTTTTATTTAACACCAAGGATGAACAAAGTTGTGTCAATTCTTTCCCTAACAATATTATTTCTTCACATTTCTCAATCAGATATTGATTAAAAACAATTCACTTTCAGTTATTTTAAGCTGAATCCATCATTTCAGTTCTCCACCTGGTTTACAACATCTATTCAGTGAGCACAGGGACGTTACAGATCAACAGACAGTGGGCACCAACGAGCTGCATGTGCAGTATATTAGGATTATTCCAGTTTATCCAGCTCTGGTCTTAATTGTAGTGACTGATTTTTGGACATGCCAAAGTTGTAGCAGCAGAAACGTTCCTTTCAGTTACATTCCATCTGACTTCTCATGCTTTTACCTGAGGACATGGCCTTGAATACTGTTGGGATGTATTGTTACTTGAGAGTAGTTCTTCTAAAAACACTGGGACTTCAACAATGGTTGTGTGAAGATCCTCTGATGACACAGGAGCAAGACAACAGCAGGTTTTACAGTAATTTTCATTTGCACAATAAATCTTCAAGGGTTTTTCCAATCCCTCTGTTCCAAGCTGTACATATGCACAAGATAACTTTGCTGTCACGTTGTACAGCCACGTTACGCTGTCTACACTGTCTGCACTAGGGGTGCATACCCTTTAAGGCTTGCAAGCTACTTTTTGTGTTAGCAAGACTTGGAGAGGTATTTACATTAATTAAAATGCTAAATCAGTGTGTGTGTGCTTTTTACTTGGTCCAGCAAGGATTGCTAATTAGCGCTACAAAGTTTTTGACCGTGCATGCGTGGCGAGCCATCTGTCAGAAAACAAGTGGGGGTTTTTTAACGGCAGGCAATCTACCGGCACTGCATTGGCAATCGACCGTTAAACTGCAACATTATGCGGTATCAGCGTTTTGTTTTTTTTAAACTGGATTGATAGGTGAGGTGCCACCATGGTAATAGCTGTTTATCTACTTCTGTATTCAAACCAGATTGGTCTACCAATAAACAGGCCGTGCCGAATGTATTTGGTGAAAGCTGTCTTTGAAGGGAAGCTGACAGAGATGTTATGACGGCAGAGGTGAGCACAGTGACGGTTTTGTGCCACAGCAATAGAAGCTCCAGTGTGGGTACAGCTTGGCACGTGTGCATTGGAAAGAAACCTTTCTAAAGATCACATTATAGCTCAAACACAATAACAATTTCACAAATGGATCACTAGAGGGTGACAGAAGGCTGTACTTGGGCTCATGCACACAAATGTGTCAACACATACACAAAGGAGAGAAGGGAAGGGGTCTCCGATCATTCGTCGAATCGTCCCTCCAGGATGCTCTCAAATGAGAAGGGGAGAAACTTGAAGCCCTGGCCACAGTAGAACTTGTTCTGGAACTCCACCCTGAGAGAGGAGCACAAGCAGGAAGAAAGTGATGGTGAGAACTGGGGTTTGATAACCATGGTTTATTATATCACCACACAAAAATGGCTGAACCAGTAAGTGAGGAAGATGGAGGCTAATAGAATCCTACCTGAGGGGAACATGAATGTCTGAGCCACATTGTACTATCCACACGATACTTTAATATGCTATTCTGTACAGAATTGGTTCACCAACCAGCAATGCTGTCCCCAGAAGGATGGCAGTAAAAATAATGTCAGTAAGTATGTTAGCATGTCATTTCAATCTTAAGCGTGATGATAAATAGAAATTCATTGGGCTGTTGCCACGTGTTTTAGAGGCAGGGCACATTCCATTAGAAAAGTCAAAGGGAAATCCTTCTACAGAGCAGTATAGTCTGCTCAGCACTCTCAAAACGGCTGATAGTGTACAAAAATGAAAGATGACAATAAAAATAATAGCCTTGTCAGCAGTATGTGACAGTGACTGGCTAATATATGACTTTATTAATAAATCCATTGTCAGCCTCGTTCATCTATTGTCTCACATTTCTACCAAAAGCTCTGATGTCCACCTAGTACAGGATGTACCACAGAGTACTGGTTCACGCGAGCAGAAGTATTGTTTCCATGTGTTTTCTTGGCTGCAAGGCTCCGAGGCTGTGAGGTCCTACGGCTCTGAAACTTTGAGGCATTGAGGTACTAAGGCTCTCTTCTCTGATTCGTACAACTCTCATCATGTGACTGTATATATTACCATCTACCTGTTTACACCGTCACTCGCATGCCCAGTGTACGTTAACGGTCATGTGATATATTTTTGAAAAATGTTGTAGTGTGGAAGAAGCCTGAGGCTCTGAAGATCTGAACAGCTCTGACAAATTAAAGTGCCAATCTTTAAAGGGGTTATAGGCTGTAACTAATGACTTCTTGATGATTACTGACTCATCAATCTTTTACTAGGACTCAATTGATGAGTCAGAAGCATTAGTGAGAGCAACCTTTAAGTTGCCGGTCGCCATTGACCACGCAGTGGTCATGGAGTTGTCCGCAATGTGTTTATTATGTTATTAATGCATTTGTAAAATGCATGACTGGATATATAATGATAAAATGCCTTTAATGAATGCATTACTAACTGTACATGAGTTGAGAAACTCATCGCTATTTCTTTATCTTTCTTTCTTAATAGAAAGAGTTTAGTTATTAATGGCATAAAGGTTCCTTATTACAAAGTCTTAAATATGCCTAACAAAGCCACACACTTGGATCACCAAGTGGAACTCTTTCCACATGCAGGAACACATATTTCTGGCAAACGCGTGCTAAATGCCGAGCTAGCCGGATGCCAGGCCTGTTCAAATGCTCGATAACACATTTACAAATCTGATGAGTAAAGCCATGCAGAAAGAACCGCGAGAGCCAGTGAATGAGATATTTATAAGTAGTACAATCTGTGACCAAATATGGCTGTTGAGAGCCACACTCACAACAGAAGTAGACGGTGGGCTGCCTGCTCATGTGGGGAGAGTTATGCTTGGTGAATATGATCAGTTTAAGAACAACTACAATCCATTGTCCATTTCTCATCATTTCCCTTGTGTGATTATGATGCCTAAATCAAGGGGATAACGTTGTACATCCACAGACCTTTGAGACAACACAACGTTTCTTGAGATACTATCATCATCTTTTTTGCGAGTGAATCCAGTTTGTATGTATCCATCCCACAAGACCTAATGAAGCGCACCGTCATAAAAAAAATACATACAGAAAAAGTCAGTACTGAGTGAAGTACATTCAGATTTTTTACTTGGAAACTTGACTTAAAATCCACAGGACAATTGTAATTCCCAAATCTTGACAACCTCTGATGTCTTCACTTGAGAGGAAAAACCTAAGAGTTCCCTGCTGGCCTCTGTGAGCAAGGGGAGTGCCCAGGAATGTCTTCTAGTTGTGGCAAATATTTGGCCTGCCAGAGGGCAACACTTGAAAAGAAGGATACTGTCATCTGCTATGAGCTGTGTCTTGCACACACTAACCACCGCTGGCTCTGGTGTCGGTGAGTGTGTGTGTGTGTGTGTGTAACTCATCAGCATGTGCGTGTGAAGAATGGAAGGCAGAGCAGTGCGTCCACAATGGCTGCTGTTTACTTTGAACATAACTATTTCCATTTGCTCCCCTCTGTGAAAAATACTCCACTACTCTTTTTTAACCTTAGCGGAGAGCTGTTGAGCCAACTCACTGCTAGTTTATTAACAAAGCACCCCACACTCATGCTGTCCCTCACACTGGAGACTGAGTGAGGCCCAGTACCACCACTGGCTCTTTCAGTGGGCCTCTGTCAGCTGATGGCTGCACTGATGTAGGATAAGACCACTATGATAAGCCTCCATTCTGTTCATGTCATTTGAACTTTCTAATTTAAATTGGCCGCTGATCTTATTAGAGCATTTAAAAGATGAGGCCATTTAATTTCTTTCGTAGCCTCTTCAGATTCTACTCGGCTAAAATACTAACAAATTGTAGCACTTAAATTGTACAGTCGTGGTCAAAGGTTTACATACACTTGTAAAGAACATAATGTCATGGCTCTCTTCAGTTTCCCGTCATTTCTACAAGTCGGATTTTTCTCTGAGAGTGATTGGAACAGATACTTCTTTGTCACAAAAAACCTTCATGAAGAACCAAACTTCATGAATGTTTTTTGTTATGTTCTTTTATCACTTTATTATGGGTTAACAGAAAAAGGGATCAAATCTGCTGGGTCAAAACTATACATACAGCAGTGCTAGTGCTAGCGCCTTTGGTAGCCATCCACAAGCTTCTGGCAAGCTTCTCATTGAATCTCCCATGTGTGTTTGGGGTCATTGTCCTGTTGGAACCCCCAACTGCACCCAAGACCCAACCTTCAGGCTGATGATTTTAGGTATCTTGAAGAATTTAAGAAGAAGGTAATCCTCCGTCTTCATTATCCCATTTACTCTCTGTAAAGCACCAGTTCCATTGGCAGCAAAACAGCCCCACAGCATAATACTACCACCACCGTGCTTGATGGTAGGCTTGGTGTTCTTTGTTAATAAACTAGCAGTGAGTTGGCTCAACAGCTCTCCGTTCCAGACCAATCGTATTAATGTAGTCTGTAGTTTAACTGAGCTCTTTCCACAACAGTCTGGTTTGAGCTTTCTACAACAACCCCTCTAGCCTGGAACATATAGCCAGCCCGTATGTGAGGCAGATAGGTAGGGTTACACAACATACACTGTAAGTTTCTTGAAAGAAAACTGTTGTCTGGACAGAAGACCGCTGGGCTCATAATGTGCAAGGTGGTCAGATTGCTTTCCACTAGTATACAGGAACAACAGATGGACAGAGTTCTAGTTGAATCCATTTATAACGTCTGCTCTGCAAGCAGCAGTTAAGCATTAACACCATACCTCTGAAAAACAAAAGCACATTTTTATGACGTGAGGCTCTGAGCTGCTGGCAGAACCAGGGACCAGAAGGATTAAAGAAAACATACGCGTATCTTTCACTGGTCCGGTTCAAATGGAGCGGTCCGTGAAACAAAGGTGCAGCATGGGGATCTAAATCTCAACTGGACTGAGCCACAAAAGGCAGATGATGATAGATATTATTGCCAGGCAACCAACCAGGTGAATACTAGCAGCATTCTTGTATTCCTTGTGCCCCAACCACAAAGCCGTGGACTGGTACCAGTCCGTGGGCCAATTGGTACCGGGCCACACCACAGAAAGAATAAAAACATTATTTCTTTGTCATTTGATCCTGTTTTCTGTAAAAAGTTTTGTTTTGAAATTGACCGGATTCTTTCCTAATTATTTGTGCTCGTCCCTCTTGACATATTTCCCAAGCGCCACCAAGCGTTTTTTTTTTCACCTTAGAAAACTTCCCACTACTCGCTGTGCTGTGACAGCCCAATCCTGTGTGTTTTAATTACTGGATGTATCGAATAGAATGTGCCCTGTACTAAAAAGGGATCTTTCCCTCTTTGCATACTGAACATTTATGTTCCATCACTCTCCCAATACCTCCTCCTCAGGTAGTGATCAAAGCTCAGTTGTTACTGAGAAAAATATATGCTCATTACTAGGATTAAGCATTACAGCTGGCTCAAATTACTCCTTACACCTGTTAATACACAAATATATACATATACATATATCTATATTTATATTGAATGTCAAGAAGAGAGGGAGCTGTAGGCTGTGAGGTTATCTGGAGGCCAGCTCACGGCTTGGTAGACCACTTTGGATCTGGAATGTTTCATTTGAAGAACATCCACCGTTTGTACATGTAAAACTGAAGAAGTGCAGCTTTGGCAGTGTTACCTTCAAGAGGTGAGTAATGACAGCCAGACTGTCTGCTGGGTGTATGTTTTCTATTTAAATGGTATTCACTTAAAATAAATCTGACTTTCAGTATTGGTTTTGTGCACATGAGTGTGAGCCTGTGCACACCTCACAAATACAAACATTTATTATACATTGAATAGCATGCATATAAGCGTGTGTGGAATATTTCGTGTGTGTGTGTATGTATGTGTTTGTTTCTAACCAGTGCAGACGCAGGGCATGCAGGAAGGCGGACAGCCCCTCCATGACGAGCAGGATGGCAACCGTGAGGGTGGCAAAGGCTGAGAAGATGATTGACAGCGCGAAGAACCCACCGCCGCTCCGGGAGGACAGACCCAGGTGCATCACCATGGTCCAGAGGACCTCCGACAGCTCTGCACAAATAGACACACACACACACACACATATAATTGCATAAATAAAGTGTCTTTGAGTTCACCCTCATTTAATCAATGTATGTATAAAGTGTTGTAGGCAAAATGTATCTTTGTAGGCCAATGCAGAAGTTAGCAGTGCATTTGTTCCCCCTGCCGATAATAATTGACTTGAGGATGTGCAAAAATTTGGACTTATTGTGGCAGCGCTCTAATCTATATAGGCATATAGCTGTGTATGAACTGTGCATGCAGGCCTTTACTCACGTGCATGAGCAAGGCTGAGGGCCCAGAGGCGCAGGTAGGAGGCTGTGTTGGAGATGCATCCGAGACAATACTCTATGGTGTGGATGGCCTGGTGCACAGCTACGTCACCAAAGTCAAACTGTAGGGGAAAGACAAGATGGTTAGCGCACACACACACACACGCACGCACGCACGCACGCACGCACACACACACACACACACACACACACACACACACACACACACACACACACACACACACACACACACACACACACACACACATAATTGTGGCACTGAGCTCAAGCACCTTGCAGGGGCTCAGGACCATTTAATTACTGCAGCCTTGCTCAAGGACTCTTCAAATTGTAAATTACCTTTTGAGAAACTCTTTTGGACTTTTAATAGCAAGTATATCTGTGTTCTTCAAGATCATATTAGGAGCTTAAATGAGCTACGGCATTGATTAACTGTTGGAAATTAATAATTAATGTCATTCTAGTTTCCAAACGCACAGTAAGAAGCCTCTAGGATGTTTCCACCAGCAGCACACAACCATCCATGACAAGGAAACGGACTATGACATGTAAAATCTGCAGAGTGCCCCTTCCAGGATATTGATTCCTTTTATGACAAGCATCAAGAATAACTATATTGGTATACCAATCTTCCTCTGATCGTATCGTTTACTGATGGAGCTCAGATTAAACTGAAACTGTTTCATAAGCACTGAAAAGCTTCAGGACGGAAACAAAGAGCTTCTTTCCTCTTTCTTTCCCTGAGCGAGTTCCTCCGTTCCCGGAAGTTCCCGGGGGGGGGGGGGGGGGTGTGGGAGAATACCTCTCCCAATTTCTCTTGTTGGGTTTTGCTTTGGCCTGGCCCCAATTTCCTCTTTTCATGCTTTTTTTTTTTCCTTGGGGCCCTGGAATAGAATTTATGGAAGCGCGCTTCCTTTTTTCCCTTTAAAGGGGCCCCCACAAAAGTGGATAATGAAACCAAGTTCTGGTATTTGACGACAGTGACATGACTGAAACGGACGCAGGCCAGAAGCTCTGATCAGAAATGTTGAAACAAACAGTTCAGCTATGCAAAGTGATAGCTAACTGTTCATCGAACAGGACTTTAGACTTGTGATGAAATCTTTCAGACAACTTTGCCCAGACAAAGCACAGATGTTGAAAAATGACCTCTAAATCAATGTGAAACTGCCATAAACCTGCATTCTTACTTATGTCACAAAAGAAGTCTTCTTCAGCGTTTTGCCACAAGAAGATACTTGCTACCAATAAAAAGGCACCGAAAACAAATGGAACTGTTTTTTGTTGATAAGACACGTTGAATGGGAATCTGACTAGAGGATCTTTGGAGGATCTTTTCACAGACATACAATCACACACATAAACATGTATGGTGCTAGAGGGTGGAGGTTATAGGATACAGGGGGTCTACCACTTGCTACTACAGGCACAAACAAGACGGCATCCAGGCATGCTACGAAAATTCCAAAAGTCTGTCTCTTACCGGCTCTTCATCTGTGTGCTTGAAAGTAAGCAAAGGTCAAAGGTTAATGTCAGAATTCAGTTTCCCATCCTTCATTGACAGGTTATTTTATGAGACTCTCATCCCAGCCTAACAGGTCTCGATGAGGGTGTGCCCGTCATCTATCAGTTTATCTGAATCAGTAGAGTTAGTTAAACATTATACAATATTACATTCCATAAGCCTGTTGTTAAGTGTTAGCAACATAGAATATCATTATCATTATAGGAAAAATGATGACAGAATGCAGTGCTGTAATATGTTATCGGCTACATAAACAGCTCAGAGATTTATCATGCAGGAGACCTGGGAGTCACCACTCCTTTGAATCACAGATTGAAAAAAATCTGGCTGGTATTTCTAGAAATTCCACCCGCTGGTTCTCATGAACATCACCTCGATGTTTATGTTTCTGAAACGGAAAAACCATCTCTTATCTGCTACGGACCGTCCGTGCCTTGCCTCTCTCTCCGCAGTGTGGACACATTGTCCTCGTCTCTTCAGGAGAGAAGACTGATCTTTGAGACCCAAGAATTACCTTTAGCGTTGTTTTGTTGGTAAGCTTAAGACAGTCTAAAGCTGGAACTACACAGTTACCATAGCATTATTTTATTCCTCATGCACTGTTGACTGTCGTCCATTGTCGTACTGTCTGCTGTTACGCACCAACCGCCAAGTCAAATTCCTTGTATGTCTGACATATTATGGCAATAAATGTTTCCTGATTAAAGGTATTCAATACTCATAACATTAATAAATCACTATATAACTCATGTCCATTTAAAGATATAGCGCAGTAATGTCTACTTGAAGGCACTCTCCCTCTGTGTGTGTTGTTATCAGGTCTCTCAGTTGACCAACCAGCAAACAAAACTGCAGTTCCCCCTCAAATGAACACGGTTAGCACTGCTAACAGCAGCTGCCTCCATGTTGAGAGCCATGGAGGATGCTTTGAATGCCGTATATGACTTTATGTGTCTTCATTTATCTATAGTTACTGAACATGAAGCAGACTAAACTTTATTGTTATTGAGTGATAAGTGTAAGGAAAAATAACACATGTTTTTGGAATAGCGTCTCCATACCACCAGAAACCTTTGTAATAACAAACTTCAAATCAAGCATTTTAAAAAGCATAAAAGGCACAATCTTAAATCAGAATCAGAGGTATTTATATTTTATTTTGATATAACCTCTTAAATTATGGAGGTATATCAAGCCTTCTTAGTTTATGATAGTTCCATTTTAAAGTTGAATGAAAAAGCAAGTGTGGGACAGGATGTAACTTCAATCAGTTACATTAGCTGTTATCTTTTATGGACTCACCTCTTCTCCTTCCTCTGAGTGCTGGGAGAGGTGGTCATGGTCCATGATACCAGCCTCATCCTCTGTGGGCCCGTTGCCCACACGCACCCCTCCGAACTTCTGTGTGCCCTGTTGGGTGAGTCCGGTGCATGATGAGGACACGCCTGTTTGCTCTAAAGATTGCTCTAGATTCTCTGCAGGGGTTTCTTCCCTCTTCTTGGACTAGATACAAAAGCCACAAGAACTGTGTCTAGCTTAAAGCAAGCCTTAGGATGAACGCATTCTTCTTCATTTACTTCTTTTAGCTAACGGGGCACCCAGCACAGTGATTTAAGGCTTTCATTTCAAAATGAAAAACATCCACCACTTGTGAAACGCTGCTCATTGGTCGGGTTAAATCTAAAAAAAGATTTTGCTACTAATAAAGTACAGCTTGTATGAAATATGACTCAAATTAACAGAACCTGTTGCAGTGTATAGCTCATCTAAAATGGCTTTCATGCGCTTAACCACAGGCTGGTTAGCTCTGGTGGCTGAACGTCAGCTAGCTACTAACTTATACAACAATACTTCTTGATAAGTCAAAGGCTAACCTCGTTCAAAGAAGAACATTCTTGATATGGACATTTTATTGTAATTCTTATTAGATTATACATGTTCTCCGTATCTGTCACAGAACTGCAGTGAGACAAATGAAGACAACAAATGCTACTTTGTCCTCATTTAGTGACTCTGTCTTACTAGGAAAGGGCAAGCAGGCTTTTTTAAAATGGCATCACAACAATATAAAAAAACAACCTTTTTCGAAAATAATAATAAAACTAAATCTTACTCTATGATCTGCATTCTCCTGTTGAATCCCACGATGTGTCCTGCATCACAACTACTCTTTCACTACGGAAGTGGTTTGGTTTGACCTGTTACAGTTTGTGTGTTAGTTAAGTACGCTAGATACTTACTAACTGTGTATGTAACGTAATGTCAGCTAACATTAGCAGTTTTTGGAAAAACTAAGGACTAGATTCATCTACAGTCCTAATGAAATTTAAAAGGATGAATGGATGCGCGCAGAAGCCCACGGTTATACGTAGTGGATATAACATTAAACGTGACATTATCAAATGCTGTGGATGTAATGCCAGACCAAAATCTGACTCAACTTTCACTGACTAAATTTATTTAAACTAAAACTGTAATCAGATACCTGAAGTGTAAAAAAAGCACATAAACTATGGGGTATACTTCATAAACACAACTTCCCAGATTCAATACCAACATTGAGACCTACACTACTCAGGCCAAAGAGGAAGAGCAGCCAAAAGGTACAAGGTTTCAAATGTTCTTGTGGTCACGGTAAACACATTCTTAATTCTTTAAGATGATACTGATCTCCGGTCTGATGGCACTGCATTTCTTTGAGCTTTAAGACAGCTCCAGGCTCGTATATCAGGTAATTCACATTTGTTGGATGGAAATACATTTTGTAAACATCAGCTGTTAGGGTACCCCCAGTCTGTAGTTTTTCTACCAAATTTCCCACCAAATTATAAGCGTTTCCAAGGCCGGCTTTAAGCATATTTCATGGCATCACAACCAACCACATTACACGATACGATGTGCATTGAAATGAATGGCAGAATAGGAGTGAAAAAAAGGTTATAACAGGTTATAAACGTTCATCATCAAAAGTGGCATTGCGGTTTTAGGTCGGGTCAGGTCCACATACCAGGTGCATTTTCCACAGGTGCTGACGCCGAAGCACCATAGTTTTCACAATCAGCATACAGGGTACACATGCAAGGGCAATCAGCACCAACAAAATCTGGATCCCCATCTACAGATTCAAACAGAGAGAGGTTAACAGGGTGTTGGCGATGTGTAGGAGGGATCAGAAGATGCTAATTCCCTGAAAAGATCCTGCCGAGGCCTCACTCAGTTCTTCTGCCTTATGTTCCATCAAGTACAAGCTGGCCTTTGCTTTCTTGTAACTAGGCTACTTCTCAGTTATTTTTGTAAATACTGATCTAAAGACATGATAGATTTGTCAGATTTATGTAGAATCCAAGAAAAAAGGACGACTCCGGTCAGGGTTCATAACAACAAGTTGTAACAAGGTAAATTTACTTTTCTGCAAGAATATTCTCTGTTGTTTCAATCTTCAACTATATACAGTGTACACAACCAAATTAATTATTCAATATCTATTCCAGCTCTCAAATATGGGGTCAGATCAGTCTCAATAATTGCAAATGCACACAGAAAGGCCATCTGCTTTTATTTCCTCTGGAAGTTTACTTTCAGTACTTTCTTCACATTGCCGTCTGCAACGTCTCACCATTGATAAATTAATGCCAAGTTTACATGCAGCCGCTCTGTTTCCTTCTCCGACAGCAAGATTAGTTGCCCGTAACTTAAATGCTGCATCACATGCATTCCTACGTGTTTGAATATGATGCGCAAAATGGCTGTTCGAAACACAATCAAACATCACAAGAGCGCAGCTCGCCCGAGCCTGCCAGCGATACACCAACGCAACTTGTGATGCAACGGGTCAACAAATGGCATCTGGTAGTGACGACACTCTGCTTCAAGTGAAACAAATTATTAAAGTACATTTTTGCTACGTCAAATATGTTGCATCATGGATGTATTTTGCGCCATTCCATTACAAACGTTAGCTAACTGCTTTGCAAGGTAACGTTAATGCATACTGACAACCTGGCATCATAAGGATGCAGAGGTGTTGGCTAACTACAGACCTTTCTCTAATCTTCCCTTCCTCTCTAAGATCCTTGAAAAATCTGTCGCAAATCAACTATGTGACTTTCTACAAATATAGATCATTGTATCCTATTGCAGACACTAAGATATTCGATTGGTGATAAAGGAACTTTATCAGATCGATCCTAGTTTGTGCTTGTAAACGATGAATCCTCGAAGACCACCAATGTTAGTCACAGAGGCCCACAAGGTTCTGTACTTGGACCGATTTAATTTACCCTCCATATGTTTCCTTTGGGCGACGTTATCAGAAAACACCACATAAACTTCCATTGTTATGCAGACGATACTCAACTGTATCTGTCGATCAAGCCAGAAGGGACCGACCAGCTAGTTAGACTTCAAGAATGTCTTGGAGACATCAAAACTTGGATGACCGGCAACTTCCTGATGCTAAACTCATAAAAAACAGAAGTTATCTTGATAGGCCCAGAGCGCCTTCGAAGCCAGCTGTCACGTGATACAGTTTTTATGGATGGAATTGCTCTGGTACCCAGCAGCACCGTCAGGAATCTGGGAGTTCTCTTCAACCAGGATATGACCTTCAACCCGCATATAAAGAAGACTTCAAGGACTGCCTTTTTTCATCTACGTAATATAAAGAAAATCAGGAACTTCCTGTCTCAGTGATGCAAAAAAATTAGTTCATGCATTTGTTACTTCTAGACTGGATTACTGTAAATCTTTGTTATCAGGCTGCTCTTGTAAATCTCTTAAGCCTCTCCAGTTGATTCAGAATGCTGCAACACGTGAATTAACAAAAGGGATCATATTACTCCTGTATTAACTTCTCTGCACTGGCTGGACTGTGGATCTACTCACGTCAGACGAATCTCAAAAAACCCACACACAAATGTGAAGCGATCTGCAAACAAATGCATCTACAAATATAAATTATGAGTAAATAAACTCATAATTTATTTATGTGTGCATTGAAATGTAGTTGTAAATCATTCTGTGTGCATTTGCAAATCCAATATATTTGTGAATTGCTCTGTGCGCATTTGTGAATCTTTCAGTTTGCATTTTTAAAGCCAATATATTTGTGAATTGCAAATTATTGAGACTGATCTGACCCCATACTCATAGCACTGTACCTTTGAAACGTGTACGTAGACATTGCATGTTGTTGTTAACTGTCAATAACTGTTGTTTCCTGTGCCGATGGTGGGTTTCGGGGCAGAGGATGTTGTATGTGTACAGACTGTAAAGCCCTCTGAGGCAAATTTGTAATTTGCGATTATGGGCTATACAAAATAAAATGAATTGAATTGAACTGTCAGCGTAATCTCCAAAAGCTGTTCGTAAAAATGTATACGAAAATCTTGAACATACAAATTCGTAACGATACATAGGAACTGGCGGTGGTTAACCACGCCCCTTGAGTGAACAACATGGCGGACCATGTCGGATTCTTGAGTGAACGTCTCTCCGCCATGTTGGATTTTTTGAGGGGGTTAGGGTTAGTATTCTATTCTTACAAGTTAACATTGATTTCTCGTTAAAAATGCAATCATAACACGTTTATTTTACATGGTTAGACTTCACAAAGTGTGTTTACGGGGTGCAGGTCCCCATTCACTTATATATAGGGTGACGTCATCAGTTGCAGTCCGTATTTATTTAGTATGTATCACTACGAAATTTGTATGTTCAAGATTTTCGTATACATTTTTACGAACAGGTTTTGGAGATCAGGCTGTAACTGTATGTAAATGTTTAGATATTTTTCATCTTCTTGTGTGTACATGAATGTACATTAACATTCCGTGCATGTCTACACATACCGATTCTGATTCCTTTGCCAACCAAGGTTGTCTGCCAAGCAGTACATTAGACTGCTAAACTGTCCTCTGGAATAAACCTGACTTGGACTGACAATCTAACAAACTACAGTTCCTTTTTCTACTCCCCTTCACAATTAGAAAAACACAATCTCGTCATATAGGCTGTGCCGTTTCTTAACAATCAAGTAAGCCCTAAATGAAAATAAGCGTGTTATAATACAGAGAAGATTTGAATTACTTTCCAGGAACAAAACTATTTTAAACCAGTCACATCAAGAGCTGACAGCCCATATCCCATAAGAGGCCGAGTAGGGTTGGTCGAGCTAGTTGAACACACCCATATATACAATCAAAGCAACCTTAAAGGAGCTGTTGTGGATACACAAGGTGAGTCTACTCTCGACATGGTAAATTAGATTAAAGACCCAACCAGGTAGACTAGTTACTCTGGGCAAGAGAGTTCCGTGACAGTGTCTCCATCAAGCCCAATATGTATCCACGCTGTTTTGAACTCATTTTAAGCTTAATTTGAAATCCAACGGCTGGAGTAGAGTGATAGAAATAAAACTTTCACACATTAATGTCCTGAGACTTATATTATATGTTATATGTTATGTAGCCAAGCAGAGTCAATAATACTACAGTAGTTTGAACAACTCCTATAGAAGTATCCCAGAGCGAGGCAGAGATCCGCTGCCAGCACCTGTGCTGGTCTGTAGCTGAAACTGACCTTTAACCAAAAGACAAATTCAACTTTTCCTTCCCCATAGCGGTACCTGAACATGCGTATTGGCCGATACTACCAATTGGGCAAAATGTACAGATCATTTAGGGAGTGTTGTTATCCAATCCATAATTTCAGGCTCTATCGGAGGCATTTCTTATATTCCTATTACAGTACAACTATAGTTTTACTATAGTGTACATAGCTGAGGGCGGGAGCACCTGTCCCCTGTAGAGAGGCTTGCTGGTGGGGTCGCTGTAGTTGAAGAGACACATGTTGATGAAGTGGATGAGCAGGCTGGGTGCATCTTTTGAGGTAAAGACGTCATAGGCGGTCCACTTGTAGAAGACCAGCAGGGCAAGGTAGCCAAACAGGCTCGCCATGAACACGATCTCAGGGATGAAGCCCAGGAAGATGTTCAGCGGCTTCTTGAAGTACCTGCATGCAGCAACATTCAGTTAACTTCACAAACAACACTGCTGCTACTGTATGTCGCTGATGAAGGATCACTATGTCTATTGGCCAGCAGTGAAAATAATTGTTTCGTCATACATCAGTCTAGAGAGTCAAAAGGTGAAAACAATCAACAATTTAAAACATTAAGCAAACACGGCTTAAATGTTGGTATTTCAGACTAATTTGGGATGTTTGGATATTTTTTTGGAAGATTCTCTTTCCCTCTTTTGGAAGATTCTCTTTCCCTCTTCCCTCTTTCCCTCTACCCTCGCCTTCCAATATACTTTTCCCATGTACCTCCTGTAGGATGGACAGATTGGGCTTTGCAGGCAGAATAACAAACATGTTTGGCTGCAATAACAACCGGTGTGTTGAGGGAGGTGGATCAGAGAATTCTTCTGTTGTTTTTCTTTTTTTCTTTGACAAAGATTTTGCCGTTGCGGTCAAGAGAAACCAGTGAAAAACCCCTTTTAGAGTCATAACTTGAAGTGTGTATATCTGCAATCACAGAGCAATAAGAACTGGAGAATGATGGTGCAGATTGACCAAAATGTAACAGATATTCAATAGGTTCAGAAAGCTTGGCCTCTATGTACATTACCTAAAGCCAGATTTGAAAATCTCTTTAAAAAACATTTTCATTCCGATATTGGAGAGAGAAAATCTAAGAAAATTGTTACATCTTTTACACCATTGGTACATCTTTTGATGACATAGATATTTGCAATATGTTACAAATCTGTGGAACTAGGCTAAGACCTGAAACCATTTAAAACAGAAAACGTGTATCGTGCCATTTGCCAATGAAGTGAGTTCTGATTAGTTTTAGGGCATCGGTAGTCAGATCGTCCTCAAAGGGCTGTTTGAACTTCTCTCAAGATGTCTTTTTTTCCTTATTCACACAACTACTCCCATCATTTTATGTGAAAACAACTGAGCAATCCAAAGCCCCAATTTGTTTCATTCCTTTCATTACATTAAACTACTTCAGCTAGGTACTACATGCTTTAAGCAGGTGAAAAACAGGTGCTAAAACTGAAAAAGACAGCAAATGTTTCACGCATGAATTTCCAGGATTGTCCCTGAGAGACCTACGTACAGGTGGTTGAAGAGACTGAGAGACACTCCAAACAGCATGTGAATGACACCCAGGATCACAGACATCTTCATCTTAAATGAGTTGAGAAAAGTCAGCTTGTTGGTGGCAACATTCCAGATCTGCAGAAAGTGAAATATTTGAGACAATTAGGATAAGGTTTAGGGTGATCAACATACGGTATTGCAAACTCTATATATTTTGCGTTAATTATTTTGGTGATTCGGCCTACTAGCTCCCACGGACGATGCTGATTTTTTAAAACTACCTCTCAGATACAGTTTTCTATATATTAATTTCCAAGGGCTCAATCATGAACTTTTTAAACAGACAATGGTGAAACAGTGCATGTGTTGGAGACTATTTTCAGTGGCCGAGTAATTCTCATTTGGTGCTCTAGTGAGTATTTATGTGTGGGATTAAGCTAAAGTACACTGTAAAAAGAAGTCAGTAAAATTTACGGTGAAAAACTGTCAAATCCCGACAGTAACAGACTGTTAAATTGAAATCGGTTAAATACAGTTTATTTGACAGTGTAAATATATATGAAGTCATGTGGAGGGGGGGCACGGGCGCGGATGGTTGCGGTGAACGGGGGGGAGGCACGGGCGCGAGGTCAAATCCTCGGCAATGGTCCGGTCAAGGGGGGGTTGCGCAACCATCCGCGCCCGTGAACCACACACTTTGGTTGCACTGTGATTTTAAACAGAGAAAACAAAGACTATCTACCATTTTTAGTTTACAGATCTTACCGGGTCAATTCCAAGTGGATAAGGCCCGTTGAATACACCAGGGACAGCTGGGTCTAACTGGAGAACTCCATTTCCATTAAGCGTCTCAAATCTAGGACACATCAGTAGGAAATGAATCAATGTTCTGAAGGGAAGCAGATTGTAAAGATTGACCAGCAATACTTTAAAAAACATGAATCAACAACAGAGTACAGCAGTAAGACGATGTGATTAGCTCTCTGGCTGTAGTGCAGGTTATTGGGCAGATCAGTGAGCACAGGTTTTAGTAATGTCTCTGTACATGTATGATTGCATTAACCAGGACAACCTCACTTAGAAAGGTCCCTGCAACAGGCTTCACCAAGAAATGGCTCCAACTTCCCCAACACCACACATTGTTGTTTTTAGATTCTAGCGTTGTACTTAAAACCCAGAAATGTGTGATTCTTCTTCTCATCAATTATCCAAAATGTGTAACCATTCCTTTGATTTTTTCTTGTCAAATTGCATTGGAAATATTTACCAAACTACAAAATATATGTAGAATCCTAGGTGACAATCAAAGGTCATCTCGAGAAGGACAAGTGGAAGGCGTTAGTGGCTTACGTCCAGTTAGCGCCTTTGGGACCAAACATGGGCCTGACGCTCCACCCAGAGCCGAACATGTTGAGAGACTTAGAGAAGCAGTCGTTGTAAATGATTCCGGTGTACATGGAAAAGAGCCCCATCAGCAGGATGATGTAGCGGCCAGCAAACACCATGTTGAACATCTGCAGGCACACACACACACACATATTGTATGCCTCTTTATTGTAAGGTATGACTATACTCTTGATAATCACTTGTTCATGTCCCGCCATACCTCGTTGTCACTCTTCTGCGCGACGAGGCGACTCTCTCGAATGACCAGGTAGAGGGCAATACAGGTCATCAGCACGCCGTGGCCCATGTCACCAAACATCACCGCAAACAGGAAGGGGAAAGTAATGATGGTGTATGGAGCTTTAACGGGAAAAATCACAATCACAGAAATATCCTGAAATATGAAATGCAGTAATTTGTGTCTGCATAATGTATGTGAGAAATTAGATCTGGTTGGCGAAAGACATTGTTTAATCAATTGTAGTATGTCCTATCTCGAATGCTGTTGATAAAAGACAGATTATGTTCACATAAACAGGAGGGATCTGATATATCTGTGGAAGGCTATTAGTGACTATGCATTCAAATATAGAAAAGGGAATTCTTGTTTTACCTGGATTGATCTCTCGGTAGTTCCCAATGCCATAGGCATCAACGATGTTTTGGAAACCTGAAGTGAACTTGTTGGTCTTATTGAAAGTGGGCGGGGTTTGCTTGGTCTGCATCCTGTTGAGAATGGACGGCACCGTGGAGCCGCTTCTCTCCTGTCAGATAAAGGCCCAATTTATCAGTCACATACTGCCCAAAACAACTAATATGAAGTTTAACAGCTCTATATACAGGAAATAAGCATACTTTCCCTTTGTATAATCCACGTTTTACAAATGAAAATTCCTGTTGTGGTCAAGGCCTGACCGGTCGTACTCTGCCGCTGGTTGGATAGTACCCGTTGCCTTTGTTGGTCGGGTGGTTGGGTTTTGGCATGAGGTTAGATTAAGCATATCAGGGTAAACCAATAGGAGGCATAATGGTGAGGAGTGTTTGCTGTATAAGTGTATGGCTGTCAGTACTGTTGGTTGCATTGTTAGCAACGTTAGCTGCTAACTGCTGGCTCAGATGTCTAAAGTCTTCAAAATGTTGACTGTTGACTGTATAATGACAGAAAGCTTGAATTACTAATTGCTGGACTTTTCCCAATTTGTATGACGTTAGCCGCCATCATTGATAGCAGACACAAACAAGGATTGACGCTTGAATGCTATGTATTCATGTAAAAAAAAGTTTCACATCTTTTGAAATGTGAGCAAAATATAGAGCATATCAAAGTACCATGCCAGAAGAGGCAACCAATTTGTTGTTTTCCATTGACTTCCTTTTGTTTAAAGGTGCCTCCTTGTAACTTCTATTCGCTGCGAACGATAGAAAATTGCCTGAAAGCTCTGTGGTGGGATACACTACCACATGCTATATTCTGTGTTACAAAAGAAAAACAAGTTGATGAAACACACAACCAGACCAGAAACCAAACTCACTGTGCCTCTCCGCAGAGCAAACTGGATGGAGTCCAGGTCAGAGACGGGGCACCACACCTCAGCGATCAGACACTTCTGGGTGACGTCGATGTTGCACAGGTTGAGTGTGTGGTAGATGGCCTTCATCTTCCTCACCTTGATGAACCACACCCGCATGGTCTTGGAGGCAGCCTGCAGCACCCGCTGACGGTGATCTTCTGTTTGGTTCAGCACCTGCAGTAGCAGGGTGGGGAGATTAGTTTTAGACTCTAGATCTGGTCCATTTTTGTCCCAAAGACCACAACCCTGGTAAGTATCTTTATCTGAATACATTTTATTTGTTTATTTTTGATCAAAGGGAAAGCTATCTCTTCACTTTCCATATAAGTACCATTTGTGTGTGTGTTGCCTATTGCTTGGTCTTGTGATATGAACATAATTTCCTGGAATAACAGGATGTGTGAAGTAAACATGTTGACATGTGGTTGAGATTGATTGATTGGTTGCTTGTCTCTAACACTCAGGTCCTGTTTATGAACAGAATCAGTTGTTCTGTGTAAACCTGAGTAAAACAAGTGGAGTTCATTGTGTTTGGTTGGCAGGCTGAGACCAGAGCAGCCCTCTCAACCAGAACCAGGCCTTTCTTTCCAGCCTTAATATGGGCAAACTTTAAGGAACCACATCACTATGAGACAGGACAAAGGTCTTTCATAGATAAGAACTAGTGCACAAAAAACACTATGAGGGCTTTTGTGATTTGATTGGAAAATACATTTTATAGAAGAAAGCCGAACACAGACATCCTGTTGCGCAGTTTCTGATTGATTTCTCCTTGTTTAGTGAGCAGCAGTATAACAAAGAGCACAAAGAGCCTTTGAAATAATGATTAAATTCAAAAAAGAACTGCACTGCTCATGGTGATGTGGCTTAAACAATAAGCAGGCTTGCTGCGAGGTTTAGCAAATATATGGAAACTGAATCATTTTCTTTCCTTATGTTAACCTTTAATAAAACCTTTTGGTTTATTCATGTATGTGATGTGAGATGAAGATATAGTGACAAACATACCATCTGGAGGTCATCAATGCGGCTGTTGACTCCAGCCAGCATCTCCTTCCTCTCTTGCGGGGTCTCTGGACACGGGTATAGCGAGGCACGGAACCTGGGAAACAACACCCCATCAGAGCCCCCTCACAGCCCATCACACACACTGTGCCTCCTCCCCGTGGCTCTTTTACCTTAGTCGTTATTGTGATGCTCATGCTGGAGTCAACACACAGTAGGGAGAGGAGAGGAGATTTTATAAATAGGTACTCCAGTGACTGCTGCACTTTCGTTAAGGGGCGTATTCAATTTTTGTCATTTCCATTGGTTTTCTACAAGCGTCGGGTAATTCTGGATTAACTTAACCAGAACCAACACAAGCCCAAACCAAACCTTCCAAAAAGACTTCAGTCCATCAACTGTGGCATGGATAAGATAAGATAACACACCCACCCCTCACAGATCTTCTTCACCCTGTTCTTCAGCTGGTCGCCTTGGAAGAAGATGATGAACACTGATTTGTGGACTTGGTCTCCCTGTTGGAAAGATAAGACGTGTTCAGAAAACATACACACCTTACTGATAAGTTGGTGCTTGTTTCTGATATACAGTAGGTACAAATGTTTGACCAGCATATGCTTCTTTTTTTGTCTCTTCACTCGTCTTTAGGATTGTATGTTGTGTGTTCTGACCGTGGCGGGGTCTTCCAGAGGGTCCTCAATCTCTGCCTTCCTTAGGAAGACGTTCCCACGACACACTCTCCACAGCATCCTCTCGAAGGTCGGGATCCTCTCCCTGCCGATCACTCCGGCCACAAACCTGCTCCGACCAAACCGAGAGGGTTCAGAGTGAATCACACAACAGTAAAACTGGCCACAGCCTTTTGAGGGACAAAGAGAACGGAATGCTGTAGCAAGGCTAACTAGATAATTCTATACTGTAGCTAAAGGTCCTTTTCACATCAGATTTTGATGTGATCCGAAGTTACTCATTTTATATATGTAGTAAGTAAGTAATAGGTCAATTAAATGCTTTTGGTTAAAAAACGTCTTTAGTTGAAGGCATCCTACTCTGTTGATCTGCAGTGTTATAATAAGTATCAGCGTGCCTTACCCCAGTCTGAGTGGAGCCCCGCGGCCCCCCTCGCTGCCCTCCATCAGGGCCGAGGACTCCTCCAGCAGGTTGGGATCCTCCATCTTCAAAGACATAAGGATGATCCCAGATATTTACTTTCAATTACCTATTGTGCTCCCTTCTGTGTGTCTGCTGCGTATATCTGAGGGAGACAAATGCATACCTCATCAAAGAACTGCTGTGTGCGTCGGAGGATGTGTTTGAGCTCCGTCAACTCCAGGAAGTTCTTCTTCAGGGCCTCCTGATTGGTGTTGATTTCCTTTAGTTCGTTCTCCAGTTTTTCAAAGGTGGCCTGCGGTTCACAATCAAGAGTATAAATATAAAATATACTCATGCCACTGCCAAATATAAATCACTCACGCATACATGCACACATAGCAGTGAGGGACATAAAACTCATAATTCATCAAAATCCAGCTGTGAATTAAACAGAGGTGGGTTGGGTGGGTCCAACAGACAGGGAACCACTATGCGTGTCCATGGGGACAGTGTCAATGTAGACCTTCGTTTGCTAAATCCTTTCCGTACTATACTTGTGCATTATGTAACAAACGTAACTACTTCGTATAACCACAAACAAGTATTTTTCAAAGCCTAACCAGGTAGTTTGGCTGCTTAGGTTAACTTAAAGACTAAATAAATCTGCGTAAGAAGCTTATTTTGAAAAGGGACACTGTGACATCACTGAATCCAAAACTGACGTGAGAGCGGAACCGTTGGCATCAGAGAGGCAAAGTTCAGGGCCACTGACCAATCATACCTGAGCAGATGCTGAGTGGGGTGTGTGTAGAGTATGACAAGTGTACCAATTGATCTATCAAAAACAATAACGAATAGATGATGAGTGATATTGATTACCTCCAGATCAATCATGTCTCTGGGAAAAGGCACTTCTGGATTTTCTCCAGTGTCAACAGTTGGGATAATTGCTTTCTTGATTTCCTTCTCCACAAACCCTGTTCAGAAGAGAGGATCCAAGTAATTAGCGATACAGTGAAGTTCTTTATATCCTTAGAGACAAAATAAAGGCAAACGTCATTATGGTCTCAATGGCAACTCTGTTATTTAAAAATCTAGTACAGGTTTACATCATGTTTCACCTGAATGTGACGCGGGATTGAATCTTATGAATCAGTAATACTCCCAATAGGCAGCACATACCAACTATTATTCACTATTTCTGGGATGATTCATTCCTGTATTAATGTATGTATGTGCAATACCAATATTGATGTATACCACGGTTCAATACAATTACAAATCATAGTGTCTTATTGTTGCATTATGCACCTTGCTGCTGTTATCTTGCTCATTTACCTCCAGTTGGATAATAAAGGATTATTTTATCTTATCTGATGTAGGAATTATACTGAGCCTTTGGCTCTGCCTGATTGTTTAATGGTCTCAGTACTTACTCAGTTTCCTGTCCATCTCCTCACATCGCCTCACTTCATTCACAAACTTGCGCTGGAACACATTTACGTCTGGATTCAGCTGTGGGCGGGAAAAAAAGACAATCATTATTGATATAAAGCTAAAACTCCAAAGTATTAATAATGACTGAAATAATGAGCTTGAAAGTGTTTTTTCTATGAATCAATTATTCATCACCAATGCATATGTGTGATGTGATGTGTAATACAGCAAACAGGTAACACCATACGACCTGTGTGGTGTCTCCTGTTCAATCCAATGCATGGGATTATTAAAGGAGCTCTACTGTCAACATACTTACGTCTCTAAACTGGACCATGCCCAGTTCTCCCAGCTCACTCACGCAACAGTAGGCTGCCTCTGACTGGAGGAAGAGCTGGGCCAGAGTCATCTCCTCGCTCCTGAACAGTTCCCCCATGACGTGACCCTCGCTCCAACACAGCTAGATAGAAGAAACTCAGCACCTGTAGCACAGGGAGAGATGTACAACTATTACATCAAGAGATTTAGGAAATACATTCTGTGAGATCTCTTTTATACCAGGAAAAGGTCAACGATGACAACTATGGTTTTGTACATATTGAATAGAAGGTAGAACAATGTACTCCATACTGTACTATGCTTAACTAGAGTACAGAACAATGATACACAACTAAGCAGTGACGGTAAGCAGAATAACATACTGTACACTGTATACAGTACAACACTGTTATACAAACAATGTGTTTGTTGTTTTTATGTCCTCAGAAACAAACTGTCTCTGGTTCAAGCTCATCAAATGTTAGGTTTTATCAGAACAATATTTCTCTTGATCAATCAATAATGAAATAAAAAATATTTAATGACTGGCCTCGGGAAAGAAATGCTCCAACATAGAGGGTTAGCACTTTTAAATATAAAGGCGTACGGATAAAAAAAACATTATTATAACTATTTTAGAATAAGGGTGGTCGACTTATCGGTCAGACAATATAAATAACATATAATATTTCACCTACAAACCAATAGGCCTACTATGTGACACAGCAGTCAGATGTTGACATTGACACGTTACTCGTTAATGCTCGTTGTACAATCGGAAGATGCTGTGGCTTAATACGGAGCTCTTAACGCAGCGACATAGCGTGGATATAGGGTTGCTATGCTGCCCGTCTATATGTAGCACCATTAAGGCTATATAAAACGCTAGTTCCTATACTGCACCACGAACGTTATATACAAACATGTCTGTGTGAGAGCACGCTCAGCATCGGGAGCGGAGCCCCGCTGATGTCGCAGCCTCTTCTCTGCTGCAGCGTGCCCTTCACCGCTCAAGGACGCCATGATGCTCCAGTCCGGCCTGCAGCTCCGCGCGACCCGCTGTCCCCTCGGTGCGTCCATAAGACCCTACTCCTGGTCTATGACGACTGGCACTTTTATATTTATGCTTCCTCCCCGTGTAAAACACCAACGCAGGGCCACACGCATGAGGATCATCGCCGGAACGCGATTGAACGTTAGGTAAACTCGCACCACTATTCATATTTTAAGAACAGGCACGACTCGGTGCATGAGACAAATATACGCTTGATGGCGTAAAAATCTCCCATTTGACCAGACGTGTCTACCGTTCCTAAGCATTTGACGGTGACACATTAAGCATGTCTGTATTGTCTTAAATCTTATGATTGGTAGAAATGTGGTTAATAATACACTCATTGAGACCAAAACAAAACACCGTGTTGAGGAGAAAATACGTGTTTCCTCACCTGTGAAGGATGCAGCTGCTCAGCTCTCTATGTGGCCTCTATCTTTGTATCTATGGTGGATGCTGAAGTCCTGGGCGGTGCATCAAAGGAAGATGCGCTCTGCCGGAAATAACCGCCACAATAAATGATTTCAAAATAAAGGCATGGTATATTTACTTGGCAGAAGTGTACTAGAAATTGCCTAAAAAATGACAACAAATATGTTTTACAAGTAAATTACAATATTGAACATCCATGGTGATATCTTCGGTTGCTTAAAAATAAGACCGAAAATCTCAACCTGAAGCTTTTTTATAATCCATGAATTTGACATGGTTGTTACAGGATTAAAGATGACGACAGAAGCAATGGCAGACGATTTAACTAGAGCATGGAATTCAGTTTATTTTATAAATTAAAAGTTAAAAGCTGGCGACCAATCCAGGATGTACCCTGTCTATCGCCCGAAGTTGGCTGGGATGGACTCCAGCCCCCCCGCGACCCTGTGTGCAGGATAAGCGGTTTGACAATGGATGGATGGAAGTTAAAAGTTAATTCAATTATTTAAAAGTATTTTTTTGTCTCTCTCTGGGAGAAGGATCCCTTCACAGTCCTTTCCTCTATTTTTAATTTTGATATGAACCGCAAGACAGAGGGGGTGATATTCTCTAAAGATTGTAAAGCGTCCTGAATGGAGGGCTGGCCCTCACCAATCGTTCTCTCTGCAGTCCTGACTATGGGGGTCCTGAGACTAAAACAAAAAAGTCAGTGTGTCAACTTTAGAATCAGTTACAACTCTTAGTGAGTTCAATACAGTGGCTCCATTCACATGCTATAGAAATATTGATTCAATTATTATAACACCCTTTATTTTAATGTTTTAATACATCATGCTGTAGGTGTATGGAGTCTGTACTACATCAAATATTATTGTCTACTTATATCATCCTTAATATGCCTCATTCCTCATTACTACAACCTAAAATAAAGTGCTACCAAAACCACTCCTCTCATCGTCCTGAGAGTAAGGTCTTCCAGATGTGGTGGAATAATCCAGCAGAGGCCAAGTGTTGAGTCAGTACTAACAAGATCCTGTTGACGTTTTCCTCTTGCAAAGAGCCACAGCAGAGTTTTACCCCCTCTCAGTTCCACGTGGTGCAGGAGTTAATCCAGGACACTGGCGGGCTGCCCGTGAGCAATTATAGAGGCATGGAACTCCTATAATGTACATAAATTACTGCGGTAGACTTGTTTGAGAAACAGCTTTTATAGCTTTCTGCCCCATTCCAGGTTGCCATGGGGCTTTCCTACATGCACTAGAAGTGTGTTTTTGCTGTGTTGAAGAGAGCAGAGTGCGCCACTCAGATGCACATGGAGTGAAATATCAAGTTAATGACTGGTAGGTGTTTTTCCATGGATTCCAAATCAGAGAATGCACTAAATATTATTCATACATTTCTCTCCTGCAGATGTTGAATCTTGATCCTTGGCTTCTAAGAAACGCGGTGTTCATTTTAAGGGGATAATCAGTTCTTACCATGGTTGAAATTTATAAATCAAACTAAATGCACTTCCAAAAAGAACAGTGTTCTCTATTCGGTGAGGCATAAAGTAAAGCCTGGTGGTTCCATCCTACCAGATATGCTCTATAACAACGATAAAGTATTACAAGCTCTGCCAATGGTTTGAAATGGTACAAAGATGTCTGGGAGGTTGCGTGGTCGTGGCATGTCGGCCTCTCCCCCATTCAACTTTTTTAGTAGTGTTAGACATTCAGTCTTAATTGAACAACAATTTCCTTGCAGCTGCCAGAAAAGAACTGTCAACCATGGGCCTGAAGGGTGACTGTCGAAGACAAGGACGAGGTGTGAAAGCAAGACCCGCAGGTGAATGGGGTCATGGTGCTGACTTTTGACTACATTGTCGGGGCGGTAGACTAGATTCAGCAGAACGAGAGCGAGCTGGAGGATACAAAAAGTTAACAAAGATACCAAAATGGGCTGGACAAAGCCAAAAAATAGGAACAAGATATTTTTTTAAACAACAGCAAGACTCATCTGAACTCATTTATGACACAAAGGAAATCTGCTACAGAACAAAGCAAGTGAACCAGTACAGGGAACTAACGAGGGAGCGGAGCAGCTGATTCAGTTTGCAGAACGCTACGGATGGAGTGAATGGGTCTGAAATGAACAAACAACAAGACAAAGATCAGGAAAGGCGTTATTATAGAGATAACTCCAGAACTTCTGGCCCAACACAATGCACTGATGAAAGCAGTAAGATAAACATGTACTGTACATGCTGTTAAAAAGTTATTCACTTATTTTTACTTTAAGCAGAGTAGTAACAGGGATCATTGTGTTTGCTAACGTGAATCTCTTTCAGCAACACTTATGAAATCCATCACAAGATTGACTTGTAGCATTCTTCATGTCCCCTTTCCTGGTGTCTTTCATCATTATAAATACATGAACTGAGCGTGCTCCGCGAAGACTGGGGAAAGGAGTGGAAACAGGAACAGATCCTGTGTGACATTCCTCCCTCTGCTGTGCCTGAGCTTGTATACAAGGTTGATTGGTTCAACTCTGCTCTGACGATTCCAGCCATGCTGATGGGGAAAAGGCTAAAACAAAGGGGTGTGTTCCTGAATCATCACAGGGCTGGACCTACCAGTTGGAGGTGGGAACTGATGTGTGTGTGTGTGTGTGTGTGTGTGTGTGTGTGTTTAGCGAGGGGATGGGGAGGAGTTTGAAGAAAGGGGGACAGTCCGATGGAAAAAACGTGGGTTGAGAGGAAAAACCCTGCCAGCGGTAGCTTGACTGGAGGGTTTCTCTGCTTGGTGCTGCATTCACATCCTAACGCTCATGTGGTAACATCCAGCATCGCTTGGGTTCCTCTACGCGTTGGCCTGACTCCAGGGATTTTGAGAAGATAGGGCAGACTGCAGAGTGTGAGAGAGGGCATATATGCTGGAGAGATAAGTTATTTTTGAAGTAGCAGGGGGAAAGAACAGAGGTCCCGAGAAGAGAAAAGGGGAGAAGCTGAGAAATTAAAGTGTCAAAAAAGGTTGATTAGCCGACTGTACACAACAAGTCGACCAATATGGCAGCCATGGAAGCACTGGAATCCACAAGCGCCCAGCTGGAGCCTCAAACCCTCACTGAGATCTCAGATGATGAGGTCCACCTCCCGCCCTCGGACGACGAAGACGATGCCCTTGCAGCTGCCAGGAAAGAACTGGCCACCATGGGTACGGAGGGTGACGCTGTCGAAGACAAGGACGAGGCGGGAAAGCAAGACCCGCAGGTAAACGGGGTCATGGTGCTGGCTTTGCTTGACAAGATCATCGGGGCGGTGGACCAGATCCAGCAGACCCAGAGCGGTCTGGAGTCCAGGCAGCAGGAGATGGAACGTTCGGTGAACAGCATTCAGGGAGAGCTCACTAAACTGGCCAAGAGCCACAGCACCACGTCCAACAGCGTCAACAAGATGATGGAGAAGGTGAGCAAGGTGAGCGTCAACGTCAAGACAGTGCGGGCCACCCTGGAGAAGCAAGGAGGCCAGATCAAGAAGCTGGAGGGCAACGAAGCGGAGCTGCTCAAGAGACGCAACTTTAAAGTCATGATCTACCAGGTAGGATAGTGCATTTTTCTATGAATACATGTATCAATATGTGGTTCTGGCTTGTCTGTTTGAGGTGTAAGGCAGGCTATGTAGATTATACAGCACCTCATTGGTTATGGGATGGGTGTGGCAAACAAATGTTGGGCTCATTAATGTGGGCAAAAGTCATGTCACTGCCCTCAAAGAATTGCTGGCAACAGGAAGTGTCGGGTTGTGCTAAATATCATCACTGACTGGGAAATTCCCAATAAACATTATGAAATAATGCATTTTTTCCAAATTGAAATTCAGTACTTCAGTAAAAAGTACTCCATCCTCTCACTTCAGTAACAATAGTACCTAAGCTCCAACCCTAACCGAACGGTTTTGGTCGTTTATAAATGCGAACAAAAATGTGTTATATGTGTTATAATGTATTGACTCTGGCCTCCCCGCGAACTTGGCATTTTGGCATATTCTCCAAGTACAAAGTACATTAGGCCCTAAGCAACGTGCCTGCAGGCCCAATTTGTTATATTTATGAACAACACACCGAAAGAGTGACAGTTGATTTGCGATAGAAAACCCCACCTAGTGCTGTACATTGCTTCAGTGGTCATTTTCTACAAAAGGAACCTTCCAGATACTTTCCACAGCACATTATTTATAGAGCTTTCCGAATACAAGCTAAGCAAGATGGCTGCCCAAATTCAACAGAATCCGTTTGTGAAGTAATTCAACTCTTTAACTCTTGCCTTTTTATTTAAACTAAGATGGAATACCACAGACAAGCTGAAAGGTCTGTTTTTTCAAGTCTTTTTATTTGAGAGGGAGCTTAGGGGAGCCCTGTTTCTTTTTTTAGCCTGTGAGGCTGCCGTGTGATGTGTAATAGCTTGCAGCTTTTTGCACAATGTTGCGAGAACATTCAGAGTTTCCACCCTGGACTCAGACATCGTGGCTTGGAGTGACCTCACTCTCTCTCTCTTTCTCTCAGTCTCTTTCTAGCTGCTGCACATGAGTCAAATGAGAGCCACATACGCTCATGAGTTAACGCTATTCTAAAATGCTTAAACAATACATTTGGCTTACTTCTCCTGGCATACCAGCACAGGATTTATACATAATGATGTGCAGATGAGCAGGTCACAGCTCTCAGCAAGAAAATTCCCTGCGGCAAGAGAAACTCCCCTTGAAACGCCTGTCTGTGGCTCCCCCTCGAACACTAAACACTGGCTCAGTTTACCAGTTATGACATAATGTCACATGCATCTTCAGAAAAAATAAATAAAACAACAAAGTCTTGTTCTGTTTTTCAATTTCCCTGCTGCTCTGTTGTTCTTCGAGGACAGATTTGTTCAGGATCAGCAGTAGAGAAAGCCAGACTCCACCAACATCCCCTGGACTGTGAGTCTGTTTATTCGGCTACTTGCACAGTGTGTCAACATAGAAATACTTGGCCTTGGTAAGGACTCATCAGTACTGTTGACTTATACCACGGACAATAACGCCCGGGCCACTTACAAGAAGAATTGTAACACTCTGGAGGTGCAATACATGAACAGTTGTAGTAGTAGATGTGGTAGTAATAGTAAGAACATCAAGGAAAGTCAAGGAAACAAAATAGGCTGAACGATTAACAGAAATGTTGAATAAAATGAGCAGATGCAATGTGTTAAATTAAGCTAATAGTGTATGTGCACAAAAGAGAATTTCGGAGAAGAAGGGGCTAATGTAATACATATGCTACATATTATGTTTCACCACCTGTTTAGGAATCTGGATATTACACGTTTTTTAATCTAACTGGTATTATTAAGATCATTTACATACAACATCAAGATCAACATTCCTATGTGCATCAACACTTTTTTCCAATTTCTGTCAGGTGGAAAAATAACTTTGATCCAGTCGCCCCTGATTTATATTTGTGCTCTCTGTGTCCTGAGGAAAAGCCCTGAGCTGTTACTGAGCGGTGTTTACCCTTACATAGGGTTTGCTCATGCAGGGAGCATGCAGAGCGAGTGCTTTGTCCTAGCATAGGGTGCTTAATCTCTGCTTTATCAGTGGCTGGTAAACCACCGGTCTTCCCACCTCTCCCCTCTGGGCCTCCTTCACAATTGTGGTCCCATCAAAGCTTAGACTGACATAATTTAAGACTTTCATCTTAATTCATACTGCGTCTCATACTGCGATAAATGTGTAGAACAGTATGATTCCAAACAAGCATGCATGGATATGTTTCTACCTGGTTTTATGGAATGTTTTGCGTGAAATTCGTTGGGTTACATTATATTTCAACGTGGCACAGCTCATTGCAATCGGTCCCAAACTATTGTCAGTCCATCGCAAATTGAAACCACTTGTTAATGCCCACAATAAAAACAATATCCAATACTACCACTGCCACTGGAATGCTGGACCAGCTGAGGCTACTGTATGATGTGAAATCAGTGGTGCTCTGTCAGCACAACTAAAGTGGCCGTCTCCGTGTTAGCATGAGCAACTGTCCTGCTCCTGGGAGTGCGGGCGTGTGCATGTATGTTTTTGACTTATTTAAGCCTAAATATCACATATGCCTCATATTTGTTTAATTACGTACGTACATCCCTGCTGCCAGAGAAACAAAGCTCACTTACTGAGCCTCCAACCCGGAATGTGACAACTCCACCCCCCAGTGTATGTACGTGAAAGAGCAAAGCAGTGCAGGGAAAATATCAGATTGAACAATAGAGTCCAACAGTGTGCAGCACTATGAATGTGTTTAAAGAGAGACATGGTGCATTATCTCTGTGACGGCAGGGATTTTAAACCCGGTAAATGAGAGACTGTCTATGCTGAGGCATGGTTTAATGCACCAGGTACGAGCCTGCTGTTTGCTTTGTCCCTCATGCATTAAGGGCATGCTACTGTTGGCTGGGAGCAATACCGACTGTGCAGTGAGAATGTGGGACCGATTGACCCGACAACCTTCCTCCATCACTTTGAGGACGGTGGAATAATATATGTGGGGGAGTAAGAGCAAAAGATAAACTAGAAGAAGAGATGTACGGGGAGTGGATGGGTGTGCTGTGATGAAGAGCAGGAACCATATTTAGACAGCTGATTCATAGCAAAGGCATCCCCGGCCCCCTAACCTCCTCCTGCCTCCTCCTCCTCGGTTCCCGCCCTGTTCTCCCCTGCTCCTCCACGCACCAGGAAAATTCAGTCCACATCGTGTCCTCCTCACCCCACCCCGCCCTACAGACCATCCCTACCACATTTTCCTCTCTTTTCTGTCACTGGATTCTTTGTTATCTGAGTTGTTTAACTGTATCCTATTTAACAGGTCATCAAACTGACATCACAATGCACGTGGAATAAACCATATTCAAAGATCTGAAAGTGTGTAATACATTTAAAAACAAGCAAGGCAGCATCCCCGAGTTCTTTCCCGGGGTGTTTCCTTTTTTTTGATAATTGTCTTGTATGAGAAGCAATGGCCTGTTTCTACTAGAGCTCTTATTCTCTTTTTGATCTGGGTAAATAGTCCTCGTTTCGCAGCTACTCTTTCAACCACATCTCAGAGCAAATCAATCAACTGATCAACAGATCTTTTCAAATGGTACAACTGAGTACAACTTTGTGAGGGGCCATAGCTCAGAGCTATGATAGCTCTGCAGCAATGCTTCTCTAGCTGATGGATTCAACATTTTGGGCTCAGTGGCTAAAATCTTAAGGCATAATCTTAATTCACTGCAATCATCAGATCTGCTCGCAGAGGCCAAGTAAATCTGCACTCTATTGGGTACAACTTTGACATGTGACCAAAGATTAAGCCTAATGCCTCAAAACCTAAGTCCTGTGTGAAACCAAAAGTCAAGTTACTTTAGCTTACGTAACCTTCTTGGCTTACACTGCGTAGTAACGATCACTACTAGACTAAGAAACTAACATACTTTATTTTTTTACTCAAACCAATTTGGTAAACCAAATTGTATCTGTCACGCGTGGTGCTTGGGGGGTGTACACCCACTTGTGTACGACTGTGTTTCTCTGATCGCGAGTTTCCCGCGTCTCGCTCTCTCAACGTCGCTCGCCGTCCCGCTCGCTTTACTGCATTTTAAAGCCATAATACAACCAGTCAGTGTGTAATCAGCTGAGGCCGATTGCCTCCACCGGGCCCTGTTCCCTGAGCCACTCCCCCTTTCTCCCCCCTGCAGACAAGCCAAAACCACGCCCGCCACCACAGTATCATTTCGGTCACTAAAGATCTTTTTAATCACAAGATGCCTTCTCAAGGTGGAAACCGCTCTTATGTAATAAGTTTTGATGTCCGTCTAACGTTTGTTTAGGAGACACTTCGAGACGCGTGAAGTAGTGATAATAATTTACAAATGGAGCTATTTACCAACTGTCTCACCAGCCAACAAGGCATGCAAGTTGCTGATACCAAGCCACTGCCACATCTTTCTCAAAGGATGCAACTGTTGGTGTTGCTTTCTGGTCTGATACATTTTCTTTTTTTGAACCTTTTTTTTCCATAACTTCATTCTTTCATTAAGTTCTCATACATTCAACACTATATGTTCATCTTTCTTTCTCTTGAACACCTTACTTTCAATCAACACCACCCAAAACCTTGACTCCATAATCACTACATCCCAATCAATAGCACTGTGTCAAACTGCCATCTAATGCAACAGTGGTCATAGCTTCATCCAGATGCTTTACAATTTGCCACTTTTGAGTTGCACACTGAAAAGACCAGATCTGCAAAAAAAAAAAACAATTTCACCAAACAGCCTGGCAGCAATACGAGTCCCAGTCTTGAATCTCATGTAAACGGATCAAGAGTGAGCCCATTCTTCTCACACCGGTTGGTTTTGCCTTCTAGGTCCATATATGGACAAATGTTCCCAGCGAGGTTTTCTGTAACATTGTTTCAGCTGGGAGCAGTGCTTCTTAGAGGAGTGTTTTCAACTTGGCTCAGTAATGCAGGTAGGGCTGGTCTGAATGTCAGGCAACATGTCCTGACCATCTGACGGGAGCTT